TTCAGTGTATTGAATTGGAAGGTGTATAAAATATCTATTAGTGTCATTCATAATATAAACCTCTCAAACAACTCACACAAAAAGATTTCATCAGGGGAAAACAGATTATACAAGTATCCATATCAAATCTCACTTGAATATATTATTATAAGATTTTTATATAATATAATAAAACAATGAAAAACATGGGAATCCTAATGCTTATGCAATCTTTAAGAATATCAATTTTGGCAACTAATTGAGAAGACCACTTAATTAGGAAAATTGGTTTCTTGTCATAATGCATTCTTTAGATTTACTTGAGAAATATTTTCAAATTCAATATCATAGATGGTTAATAAACATCACATATCATATAAACTAATTAATTATAGCAAAATGTCTTTAAAAACTTAAGGAGGGTGAATATGCTTATGAAAAATCTTTTTTAAAAAAATTTATAGGCAAAAATAATTATACAAATCTCAAGAAGACAAATTAAAGCATATCTAAGAATATCTTAAAAAGCCTACCGCCCAAAAAGAAGGAGAAGAAGGATGGGAGAGAGCCTTTTTTAAGAGAGAGGAGGCGGAAGGTTAGTGTGTCTCCCAAGTCAATTGGCAAGGAGTGATAGCAATTGGTTCATGAATTTACCCAGTTTAGTATGAAGACTGATGAGAGAAATTCAATTTGATGAAAAACTCTTTCTTAATGACTCTAGCCTCTAGCCAGTTGCTTTGACAAAAGAAGTGAAAAAAGGAAGCTTAAGGGGATGTATCCTATAACCAATCATGATGATAAGGGATTTGGATGTTACAAGTCCAATTAGGAGAAACATTTTCAAAACAAAGAAGACACGTTGCAATTCTCATCAGGCGAAAAGAGTGAAAACAAATTTCCAATAAAAAGTTACTAAAATTTTTTCAGCAAATTGAAAGTTTATAAGTATACATCTATGTGTATATATATATATTGGTAATAATAATAATTTCAAGATTAGATACACTAATAAATAACTATTATTTTATAAATTAAAATTAAGATTTAAGTCTTAGGGTTCATTTGGTATAGCGATTTTAAAGTAGTAGTTAGAGGTTTAACTTAAACCACTAAAGATAGGTGTCTAATAAACATATATATTTCGAAATAGTTACAAACAAGGTGTTTGATAAAAATTTTTATTTAGCGGTTTGGGGCTAGCAAATAGTGGTTAGAGTCTAAATAACTAGCAAATTGAAAAAGCTAGTTTAGGAGTCTTTTTATACCAAATTGCTAGCGGATTAGAATTTTTAATTTTATTGATAAATTTATCCATTTTAATTTTTAAAATTTTGGCCATAGTTTTTAATTAATATTTATGTAATAAGTTTCAATTTTGTTTTTTGCCTAAGTGATTATTATATTTTTATTTTTTATATTAATTTACCATAAAAAATATATTATCTTAATAAACAAATTTTGCTAGTTAGACAAAATGATTAATTTTTTATTTAAAAAACAATATAATTTTTTTCTTTGTTAAAAATAAAAATGAGGGTGTAATTATATTATTATAATTAATTTTATTTTTTTATTTTTATAAAATTAATAATTTTAATAATAAAAATAAAACATATTAAAAAAATACACTTAATTGTTTTTAAACATATTCTTATTAGTTATTTAATATTGAACAACAATCGTTAACTATTATGTAATCAAACAGTTATATTCATCGAATCTGTCATCCGCCATCCGTTACCTACTTTTTGTTATCTGTCATCTGTTATTTGCTACCTACTACCCACTACCCGTTACCTATTACCTGCTACTGCTATCTAGTATTTGCTATCCGCTACTAACTATCTATTAAATTTTAACTATTATACCAAACATGCCCTTAGTATGAGTATTCAAATAAATTATAATGATTTTTTTTTAATGTATTAAATCGATCTAGAAAGGAAGTCCTTAAAATATCTCAAGAACAGATTAACATACCCTAAATGTAAATTAAAAAAACTAATTAGGTATTAATTTTATAGTTTTTAATAGCATCAAGATGAAGTGCGTCCTTCCATGATTTGGAATACCGAGTATGGCCATCCAGAGGGTTGGCATCGGTTTGATTTTGTTACTATCTAATTTTTAACTAACGGTTTTTAATTTTTATTCCGTAAGTAAACTATATTTTTACATTTTTTAGTATAAAATTTTGCTTGATTAAAAATTCCAATTAATTAAGTTTGGTTAATCAAATTACCGAATTCCACAACTTAGAAATATAACCTAAATTTTGGTTTGGTTAATTTGGTTAACCCTTTTTTTTTTTTTTTTTTTTTTTTGTTAAAATGGGTCAAACTGTCCTCTCTTTTTTTGGTTAAATTCGGAATACAACTTTAATCATACCCAAAAAAGATAATTTGGGACTAATTAACTAAAATTTTAATCTAAATACCCAAAAATCAAATTTAACTAAACTGGCAAAATTTACTTTGGTTTGAAATATTCATTGATTCAGTTACAATCTAATTAAAGTCCACTTGTTAGCGTAAGTGCATTTTCCTCAATTTTATAAGAGGAAGGATCTTTTCGATGAGCCTTTGATTTTGACAAATAACCAGAAAAATGAAGACCCCATCTCCTAGGAAGAGTCAAATCAACTACGATAAGAGAATGTACAAGTTCCACCATAGCATTTCATTGCCTATTTTCAAAAAAAGAGTTCCACTATAGCATTTGAGAGTCAACATTTTGCATTACAAAACTTAAGATGCAAGATTCATATCAGCTTTAATTATTCAGTCAAAAATCCGGCTGTTGACACAACCATCCATTTCAAGGCACGACACTTTAGCTTTTTCCATTAGTGGGAAGCTAGAAAAAAAAAATCCATTTTCCTATAGTGCTTGTAATATTGAAGATTGGCAGAATATTCTTCAGGATCCTTAGATTGCATAAAATAAGAAAAACTTAGGAAAAAGAGAGCGGGAGAGAGAGAGATTGTGGGAGGAAAAGATCACAAACCAGTAATTAAGTTCAATAGACCCTAAGATACAGTAGTTTAAAATTGAGTTATTATTAAGTAGCACAAAAGGAGAAAGATGCCAAAGTATCTCTAATTCATTTTACAATGTAGCATTTTTTTTAATATAGAAAAGAATGCAATATCATTCATTGAATGAATTGGTTCACAAAGGACCATGAAATTGATTTACGTAGATAATAAATCTGCGTAGACCCCTGTATTTGTAAGTAATGGGCAACCCGGCCAGTTAACAAATGCTATTGTCTCATTCCTCTCCTAATTAATTCGGTTAAATATACAAGGATAAGTTAAAAAAAAAAAAAAAAA